CCCCTGGTTTCAGGTCTTTTCTGATTTGTTTAGAGAATATTTTCTGGGGACATTATTACCCTGTTAGCATTTTGTTCACTCATTCATCTCTTCTCTGGACAAAATGACAAGACAGTAAATATCACCTCAACAAAAACAATAGGTAGTACGGACTGCCAGGGACCTACTAAATATGGACATTAGTATGATGTTGGAGCTAGAGTCAGAATCATCACTTTAAAGATAGTAGCTGGACTAGAAAAAAGCATGGAAGTTATTAGAGACACCATTTCTGGAGAAATAAAAGAACTAAAATCTAACCAAGTCAAAATTAAAAAGGCTATGAATGAGGTGAAATAAAAAATGGTGGAACTAACTGCCAGGATAAATGAGGCAGAAGAGAGAATCAGTGATATAGAAGACCAAATGATGGAAAATAAAGAAGCTGAGAAAAAGAGAGATAAACAACTTCTGGATCGTGAGGGCAGAAATCGAGAGAAAAGCGATACTATAAGATGAAACAACATTAGATTAATTGGGATCCCAGAAGAAGAAGAGAGAGAGCGGAAGAAGGTATATTGGAGCAAATGATGGCAGAGAACTTCCCTAATGTGGAGAAGAAAACAGGCATCAAAATCCAGGAGGCACAGAGAACCCCTCTCAAAATCAATAAAAATAGGCCAACACCCCAACATCTACTGTAAAACTTAAGAGTCTCAGAGACAAAGAGAAAATCCTGAAAGCAGCTCAGGGGAAGAGATTTGTAACCTACAATAATAGAAATATTAGATTGACAAAAGACCTATCCAGAGAGACCTGGCAGGCCAGAAATGACTGGGATGATACATTCAGAGCACTAAACAAGAAAAATATGCAGCCAAGAATACTCTATCTAGCTAGGATGTCATTGAAAATAAAAGGAGAGATAAAAAGCTTCCAGGACAAACAAAAACTAAAGGAATTTGCAAACACGAAACCAGCCCCACAAGAAATATTGAAAGGGGTCTTCTAAGCAAAGAGAGAGCCTAAAGGCAACATAGACCAGAAAGGAACACAGACAATATACAGTAACAGTCACCTTACAAGCAATACAATGCACTAAATTGATATCTTTCAATAGTTACCCT